TGGTCCTGTGGTTCCGCTCGATGATTCCATTTCCACTCAGTACGTGGGCGCAACGGAACCATAGGTGCACTCCCGAGCCATCCGCAAACCTCCCGAATTGCTCACTGGTGAATGCGATGCCATTGTCAGTTAATATCTCCATTGGGGGCCACGTTCAAGGAAGATACTGTTTAAATGACGGATGATAGTGGCTGCATCTTGCCGGACGCAGCAGCCACCATATCGCAAAACCTGGATGGACCGCAATCAATTAGTGTCAGGAAATCCTTGCCGTTGTGGTGAGTAACATCTATCGCCAGCCGGCTCCAGTGGCTCCTCACGCTCAGCTGCCCTTTCTTCCAGCTTAACGGGTGCTGGGTCTATAGACTGGCACGCCACGCAGCTTCTGACCACTCTTCTGACGTCTGTCTTTTTTACTCCTGGGTCAACCAATTTGGCGAAATACAGTGTCCGCCCTGACCCCAGGGTGCCCGCTTTGTTGGTGGACTTCTTTGATTCGATTAAATCGAACGGGACTCACGGACGCAGCGCAGGCGGGTTGCACGGACTCAATAGCTTTCTTAGCGCGCGTCAAGCCACCTTTGGGGCACCCTCGTTAAACAATCTGCTTTGTTGAGGCTAGATTTGACCAGGGACACTTCCATTGTCAGTGCGTGCTCTTGCACTAGCTTCACGATCGTGTCGACCGCCGTCGGATAAGCATCTCGCTGGTGGCTTTAGTCCGCACCCTGGCCCTCCCGGTCAGGGTATCAGAGATCCACTTATAAACGCAAGCGGAATCGGTGAACAGGCGCAGGGTGGTTGACTTCCAGAGGATCGTAAGTTGATCCCTTGATGACAGCATCGAGCTCCACTAGGTTTATGTGCTGGGAGTCCCTTTCTGGGACGTAACCAGCAAGCATCTTCCACCACGGCTCCATCATGAACTATCGATCGCCAGTTGCAAGAGAGCTTGCGTCAACCCACACACTGAGGTCTTGGCTGTCAACGCACCATCTGCCCTGCGCTGGGTCTTCCTTGCGTACTCTAGCGAGGACCTCCCTCATCATGGTGTTGAGAGTAGCGTCGTGAACTTCGTCATCCCATCCAGTGGTGACGTCAGATGCTCTCCGCTTGATAAACGCCACCGCAACACGCATCCAGCCACCTACAGGAAGGTGCCCAACTAACTTGCCGCACAAGGAAAATATGCTTCGCCGCGTGACAACGGGGGGCATGTCTGGGAGTTCGTTTCCCCGTTTCCAATACAGAACGTCATCTTCTCCCCAGACCTGCAAACCAAGCACCCGTGCACCATCCTGTAGCCTCTCCAGTTCCTTGCTGAGGAGGCCAAAGTTGTAGAGATGCTCCTTCACGCGCGCCGCAGATATGACTCCTTCATTCACATACACGTCATCAATATATGCAGATGTTGCCCGCTGTATGCGCTCATCCTTCGTCAGAATGGCATCAACAATCATCTGCATAATCGATGGCGCCAAATTGAGACCAAACCCCATGCGGGTCAGGCAATACCTTTGCCCCTTGATAAGCACAGTTTGATAGGGCCACAGTGATTGGTGCACATGCACTTGAAGGTATGCCTTGCGAAGATCCAGCACAGATACATTTGATCCTGCTTGTCGCCATTCCCTTAGCTTCTCGGTACACACATCATCCGCGGGCTGTAAAGGGTCCACTTGCTCGTTCAGTTCGATAGTCGAGCACCGGCCTCACCTTTTGTTTGTTGTGCTGGAGAACCGCCATTAGCAGGATCAGGCCCTTCGGGGGCCCCAATTCCTTCTCTGGATAACTATCCGTTATTAATCCAGGCTCGCAACTCCTTGTTGTACTCCACACGAGCTCGGGGGGATTTTTATACTCCGCACACTGTTGTACAGCTTCTCTGGTGGTTGATCGTCTGACCATTTCCAAGATACCGTCCCGGACTTTGTGCGCTGGTCGAACTCCGCACGAAAGTCAGGCCGTTCCAGCTCCATTGCTGTACCTAGAGCAAGACCTGTTTCAGTGAAACACGCCCAACCCTCTTCGTCAACATGGACACCACCCAATTTTTTGAAGACGTCCATTCCCAGGAGCAGATCATAGCCGAGCAGCCCTCCGTCCACGACCAGGGCTTGTACAGCTACTGCAGACCCATCGCTGATGCTTGCGCCAATGACGCTCACTCCACAAGAGGTTAGCGAGCCCCCGCCAACAGTCAGAACTGGAATATTTTTCTCGTCCCACGTGTCACAACATGCCTTGCGCACAAGGGTCTGGGTGTACCCGGTGTCAACAAAGCGCAGTGCTCACGCCCGTTAATCTGCACGCTCACTGCGGGTAGTGCCTTGTTCAGCGGTGATCTGGGGAGAAGACTGGCGCTGTAGCTTACTCCCCTTGCCCGTTTCCTGGACAGCTTCTTGCTACGTGGTCCAGCTTGTCGCACCTGTAGCAACACATACGTCTCCGTGTTCCTCAGTTATGCGTATCCTTCGCACCGCTTCGGCAGTCTTTGGAGATGGTTCAGTCTGCCACATTTATAGCACCTTATGTCCTCAGTTGGTGGTGCGGGTGCTTCCACAGCTGCTGAGACCGGCTCCGCATCATCCTTTAGAATATTCCGGGCTCTGGCCAGTAACTCGTCTAGCCCCAGCTCATTGAGCCTTGACGATGCTCGTAGCAGTCGACTTGCGTTGTCTGGGAGTCCTGCCAGAAAGGCGCATCCTAGGATTTGGTCGCTTGCTCCACCAAACGGTGCGGCCAGCTTCCTCAAATCAGCCAGAAAGACATCTACTGTTTCATCTGGTCCAAGCCGCCGCTCGTAAACTGCCTCCAGGCGACAAAGGGGTCCGCACCGAATGCCGCGCGTTATAGAGCTTGTTTTATTTCCTCCAAGTCTGCGTCATCCCTTAGCTGCTGATACACAGCGTAAGCTCCTTTGTTGAGCCTAAGAGGGATGACCAGTACGTGATCTTTAATTTTACACAGCTGGCAGACCCGCTCGGCCTTTTCCCACCACTCAACCACAGACAGGCCAGACGGGGAGCCGTCGAACTCTGGTATCAACTTCAAGTCGAATCTGTCCATGTTGTAATAATGGCCGAAATAGCTTGTAGCAAATGAGTCGACTTCAACAGTGTAAGGGACGCAACTCTTTCCGTCTGAAAATGTCTGACACGCTGCTACGCAAAGCCGTGTACACCAAACACGGGTGTAATGCCGTCTGCCAATTTCTCCAAGCAACCTGCTTTTATGGAGCCCAGACACACCTCATTAGCATGTGTGTAACGCGACTTTGCGTGACTGCATGAAACCATGAATATTAAAAGTCATGGACGCCATCTTGGATCTTTTCTTTCCTTTCTCAACCCACAGGCCAGACAGACGCGGGGGCGTTTGTGAGGTAAACCATTTCTATTTCCCCCACACAATCAAAATAGACAAGGCTGCAGCAAGGAAAAGAAAGTCCCATGCAAATGAAAACCCAGATTAAACAGCAGCTGTGAGGCCTTCCGATACTGAGAATATGCAAAGACATAGGGACTCTCAAACTCCTGAACAAGCTGAAGACCCAATCAAGAGCCCTCTGTAGGAGCTAGCTTAAATGCCATCCAATTGGACTGCTTTTAAGCTAATTAGATCATAATTGCAAAATTACCATGAATCAGAATTTTTGAGAAAATCTATTAAGATGTCTAGAATTGGTAGCTTTGAGAGACACTTAATGAAACTTATTGGGATTTAATCCCCAAATATTATAGTTTTCAAATGTTGTGCTACCTCTTGAGACTTGTAAGGGCTGAAGATATTTCTTAATTTTTTTCATGTGGTTGGCCACCTAAAAATTTTCAGGTTTTTTTTCCACCAGAAAACTGCTAGTATCTACTTTTTGGTCACTCTCTGTAAAATTCTAAAGAGATATTTGGATTCCTTGACTAAAAGTCTGTAAGGGTATCAAATTTCATTAATTTCTTGACAGTTTTTGTGAGATCATTGAGTTTGAAAATGGAAATATCCAACAACAGAAAATGCTGATTAAGCAAAATTTCAACTTGCAATATCTTGAGAACAGTTAGGAATTTCCATTTAAAATTTTCAGGATTTTCTAATGATTATAAGCTCTACAACATATATCAAAATGAAAAAAAATCTATTTTTTGGGGGTAACATTGATTGGTTGAATTGACATGGAATGACACTTTTGAAAAATCATAGAACTGTGAAACTGGAAAAATTACAGTAAATAAATATTCTTAATGACTACAGTTACATTTTCAGCTTCTAGTTTCAACAAAATGGTTTCCCATTTGTCATATTCTTCAAACTTTGTCTGGATTCTGTATCTTATTTTATATACATGTGTGTTTCATGAAAAATAATTTTGTACTATTTATAAAAATATTTTTAAACATTTTCTACTTGAATTTTAAATTCTGCATACAGTGTTATATCATGAGATTATTTTAAAGTTTGACTTAATTTTAATTTTCTTTTTATTCTAACCAAAATTATTTACGACTTTGTACAGACTGCATAAATAAGCAAAAAAGAAATAATTTTCACTCTTTACAGTATTTATATAAGCTTTTCATTTATATACATATATACAGACTAGAAAAGTTTTTTGAATCTGAAAATGAAACCAAGCTTGAAAATTTGTGTGAATTTATTTTGGCTCTTGTTTATTAAAAGCGTCTGACACACAATAAACATTGACAGCACTTATAAAACAAAATGAAAGAAAAAAGGGTTTTCTCCCAACTGAAATAATGATTCTCTTTTCTCATTTTAACTGTCAAACATCGACTGTTGATATGCAAATTATTGACCAAGCTTAGGTCACTGACTGGTGATAATTGGATTACAATTTGAGGAATGTTCCAGCCAATCTTGGCTGGTTTAGATTTGTTATTTTCTAGAACCAGATATTCTCAGATGTGTTATAAGGCTGTTAATTCATTATGGCTTGGATTGGCTATCCTTTTATTTATTTCAAGTTTGCCTTTTATACCAAGACAATGCTATCAGAAAATGCAGACCCCCTATCTATCTATCTATCTTTCTCTCTCTCTCTGCATGTGAATTGGTTATTCTTATTGTTAGCATCAAGGCTCAAAGGAAATTTGTTTTTCACTGGAATGGTACCTTGGGAATGTACAAAATTTGGTTTGAAATTTAATGTACTTGTTGATATTAATTTTATATTAAAGTTGATATTGTGATGGAATATCTTGTTCTGATGATGTCAGTTTATTAATTATATATAAAGAATATCAAATTTTATCATTTTTATCATTATTACAAAGTTATTAAGATTACATTTTTTGAGACATACATCACATTGAAACATGGGCTCTAATATGATCATGGAAATTAAGCAATGTTAAGCCTGGTCAGCACCTAAATGGGTAACCACTTGGAAGTACCAGGTGCTATAAGCATGGATGTGCAGGTGTTGTATTGGATAATGGCTTGGAATTGTTAATCATAGAGCCAAATTTCAATTCCCACTTCTCCCTAGCTATGGATTAATTTTTAAGACTTTTATCAGTAAATCACTATCTCACCCCCCACCCCCAAAAAAAAATCAAAAAAAATCTTACAATCTGAAATTATTTTCCAGTTTTAAATATCCTGCAATGGGTTGATAAATTGTAGAAAATGAATGAATGAATCAAACATTTCTTGGAAATTTTTTTTTTTTTTTTTTACTGGATCTTAATATCAAAAATATAACTTGAACACTCTATATAAGATATTTAATAGAAATACTAGTAAGTTTTGCTTAGAGAATATTTTTACTGACATTGAATTATGCAAAAAGGTAATTTCTCGAAGGTGGTTCATATTTGTTAGAAATGAGCCACAATTTTTTTTAAGCAAAATGACTGAAAATGACTAATTTTTACTAAAAATACAGCCTTCAGTTTTAAAACCAAATAGAATATAAGAAAACTGGAGGTTTTCATGGCTGCTGTCTACACTTTCAAAACTTTGTTTTTAAGAAATTGAGATTTAGTACTGATTTTAGTAGCAGTGATATTGATTAGAAAATGCTGCATTTGAAATATAAAGTACTTTTTTTTTCTTTTTTCTTTTCTTTTTTAAACTTAGCTTATCTTAAAAAAAAAAAACAGGAAAAGTAACAGAATACCAAGGATATATGTAATGGCTATTATATGAAAAGAGGAAACTTCCTGTTGTATCTAATTACAGAGCAGTCAGCAGGTTAAAACGCTGTCTGGCTACAATTGGTGATAGAATAATGAATAACATTATGATTTTTTTTTATTTATACTACTTGTCTGAAAAATATTGTGTAGAGGAAATCTCAAAGTTTTTATATATATATATATATTCAGTAGAATTTATACTGAAATTTTTTAAGGAATTATCATCATTTATATACTTTTCTCGCTATGATATCATTCAACTGATCCAGATGTTGAACTACCACCTGCCAGTGAACTATATGCATTAATAAATGCTTTGAGCCACTGGGTCATGCCTCTTGAGCAATTTAGTGGTGTCATTTAAGAACCTTTAACCTAGTTTCTGGGTTCAGATCATAGTTTTAAAGTGTCCTTTGTTTCTTAGAGATTCCACAGATGGTATTCATTTTAATGCTGGGTCTACTGAGGAGGTTGTGACAGCCAAACATGGCTGCTGATTCTTGTAGGTGTCATTTTTGCCTCTAGTGTTTTTTTTTTTTTTTTGGCTGTTACGATTTCATTCCACAGGTAGTTGTTGATGAGCATGTTTTTTCCTTTCATGCATGATCAGCCCTATGTGCCTAATTTGAAAATGAATTTTTTGTCAATAACTGTATGGGATGGAAGACACACAGTTCTTTTTTTTTTTTTTTTTTTTTTTTTTTGATGGGGTAGGGGAGGCTTGGGAGATATATCTTTGAGGGATTGAACTGCTTTTGAATACGAACAACAGGTTAACTGAATCATTTCTGATATACCCTTTATGTATAGTGGACATCTTGTGACAGATTGTCCAGTGAATGTTAGCTTATGGTATAAAATGTGTGAATTATTAGTATATCCAGAAAGGCCAGTTGTTCTATTGTAAAGTGGTGTTTACATGGTCCAGAAGTGTTTGCCCTTCTTTCTAGTTATGGTAATTTACCCCATACACACATGGACTCTCCCAGTTATAAATAGGAGTAGGTATGTCCTTTTGGAGAGAGAAGTTTCCAGCATTCAGCTCTGACACTCAGACCGAGCATTCTTGCTGTAACACTCATTTGTATATGTTTGTATTACTGTTTTTGTTAATAGATTTGTTTAACTCAATTCCTCTCTTTGTGCCTTTATTTCTGGCCCTAACAAGGCCACAACACTAGTGGAAACAGAGTATGGAGGTGTGTTCTCTTCATATCTAAACCTTACAATTGAGTTGCACAGAGATTAACATCATCTGATAGACTCTGATTTAGAAAGAACAATCAAAAATTTCACCATCTGAATAAAGTCTTTACAGGTTTAAGACTCCAAAATTACACCCCCTGGAAAAATTAGGTGTTAAAGTATGTCTGGTTTCCTAGTAGTCATGAGTTCAAACCTTAGAAAAGTTACATACTCAGTTTCAGTGGAAGAAACTGACTGACTCAAAGGTGAATAAACTAGTGTATTAATTGAGATAGGATATTCCCTTAGGATAGAAAGCAGAATTGGAACTATATATTCTCATGGATCAAATAGTAATTTTGTTCAAAATTTTGAAAAGCTTACAGAGTGTGACAGACACCCAAAGAAGATTAGAGGCTACAAAGGCTGAACCATTGTGAGCATTGCAACTAAAGTAAGCATTAGCATTCAATTTGAAAGGCATATGATAATAGTTATCATAGTCTCATTTTAAGCTACAAGTATGGAGTACTAAAGAAGAGTAAAAGTTACTACAATGTAGTTAACATGGTTTCTCAGATTAGCATAATGTACCATCAAAAATGTATTGATTTGTAGGGGGGTGGTTATACAGCTTATCAACTTTTTGCAAGCTATTTAAAGCCAGAAAAATATTTTAATAATGTTTTGGAGATAATGATTTACTAATACAAGCCCTACTAATTACTCCATAGTTGGGGGAGAAAAGGTGGATTCATACCCTTTACCAAAGGGGTATTTGCATGTAAATGAATATAACACACTCAACTGAAATTGGAACGTGGTTCATCAATTTCCAATTCCAACCCTTTATCCATCCTGCAGATGTATGTACTAATGGTAAAATGTACTAATGGTAAAATACCCAATTTAAACATGTATCTGCATATGTAAATTGGTGTTGTTGGTGTAGTGAGTTCATGCCTTATTGTGTACTCTTTACTTGACTAAGTAAGATCAAGTATAAGTATTTGTTGAAAACCTTTGAGATGGGAGGTATTCATTTACATATGTATATATCTTTTTTACTTTTAAGACTATAGTATAAATATATTTCAAGTTTTTATTTTTCTGTTCAGTAATTGTCAATTCTTTTTTTTCATTTTATTAATAACTATTATTATTCCACATTTCTCTGACTATTGCCTTCATCTTGTTTATTGCTAATAGATTTTTGCCATTACTGTCTATCTATCAGGCCTGTTATTACTTACTTTTTTATCTGAACATATCTGTCTAACAAAATCACTTAACTGGCATTTTAGGTTACAATCGCAAAACCTTAAGTCATGTGATTCTGGGATGTTCAAGTGAAAAGGTGGAAGAATGTCTTAGTTAAAATATTAATAGTAGTATAGATAATAGATTATATAATGTATGGCATAAGAACTAGTCTAAGTTTTGCTAGTTAAATATGGTAGGACCTCAGGATCTACAGATTGCCAACTGCAGATAAGTGAAGCTACTATTGACTTGATCAAACAAAACTTTGTTCAAAACTTTCATGAAGCTAAAACTACTTATAAAATATTAAATAAAAAAAAAGAAGCTGATCTCAGAAATCTTTAGTTGTATTATAAAAATGTAATCAATTTAGATGATTTCAAAGCCATCACCAGCTCCTTTCTCAAATTTAATGAAGTTTCATTCACTGACTACTGAAATATTTTTATCTAATTTAATTTTTACTACCAAATCATTTATATTTCTAAGTGGGGGAGGGACTGCAGCTACCCTGTCATCCAATGAACTGACAGTGTGCTGTAAACCTTTGCTTGCATATATCTATTTGGCTTTCTATTCTCTATGAATTTCATTGTCAAGAGGAAATGTATTTAATGTTAATAACAATGTCTGACTCTATCATCATATTTCCTGCTTTTTTTTTTTATCCCTTCAATACTTTCTCCTATGTTTTAGACCCTGATATTTGGGTTACTGATAAAAGATTAACACCCAAACAGCCCTGTTTGCCACACTAGTCTCTTAATGACTTTCTGAATAGAGTATAGGATTATTATAAATTATTAAATGAGAAATATAAATCAAAATAATGTGAAAATATTCTTAAAAATCAATAAGCATGAATGTGTCATTAGTTGAATATCGAGTTACTACTTCAGGATTCCTTGCCAAATTACTGGTGTGCTTTATATGTGGGTCTGGGCGTGTGTGTGTATGTATATATATATATATATATATATATATCTAATCATGAGGATGTTATTTCAATTAACAGTAGGGTTATTCAGTACAAAATATCAAGAGAAATTTTCAGAAGGAATTGTACTCGAGATGCTGTCAAGTGAAATAGGTTAACTTTTAAAATTAGTAAATCTATTTCACTGTGCTGATGCATCAAGGTCCTATAGATTTTTTTTTCTTCTGTTGAATGTGTAGAAAGATGGTGTTGAAACATGAGGTGGAAGATGTCTCTTTTTATTTATTTATTTATCAATAGAGCCACTCTAACATTTTTATATGGTGTTAAGAAATTCTCTGCTGATTTGTTATTTGTGGTTTTTCTGCTTGCTCTTCCTTGCTCACTCGCTCTTCCTTGTTCACTTTCTCTCTCTTGCATGAGTCAATCCAGAACTTTATAAGGACTGAAGTCATTTCAGCTTCAATCATAACTTGCACATGACATTTACTGTAATTGTAAATATGCAAATAAATTTTTTATATATATATATATATATATATATATTTTTCTTTTAAAGATTGAAGGTCATTTTCCCTTTTCTGTTCCTTCATCTCTCTTGTTTCTTTTTTCCTCTCTATCCTTATCTTCATCTTTCATTTGTTTTCAAATTTAGTTTTAGTTCTTTTTACATAATATCTTTCTATAGCACCCATCACTCATTAATTTCCCTACTTTTTTCTCCTATTTGTTTTCCATTCATTTGTGTATTTATTCTATGATGGAGAAATATTCACATCCACATTGTCAACTTAGTAACCCCCATCTCAACACTGCCCTTGTATAAGCAAATATTGAGGACCAGCTTTTTTTTTTTTTTGTTTAAAGTTATGAATGATCATGTTCATTTCTAGATGAGTATTTTACAATTGATCCTTTTAAATTATCATTTTCTCATTGTTCAGAAGCTTTCCAACTGTAAACCCATCATCTCTGTTGAAGATAAACATTTTAGTATTCTCATATGAGTTGGATCCTCATGGTCCAAATATGTAAGTCTTGTAATTATAGCCATTTTATTTCTTCATATGAGAAATATTTCTCCTGAATAAAATTTCTTTTGATGATCTTAGTTTTGATGACTTTGAATGATAATCTTTTACAGAATTTTCAATTTGTTGACAGTTGGCATCTTGCCATTATCCAGGAAATGCTTCAGATGGATATCCTCAATGTTTTTGCCCAGAAACAAAAACAAAGAAAATCATTGTACAAATCACACATTTTCTTCTTGGTTCTGAAAAAATTCATATGGAAGTGAAGTAGCTGTAGAGTTATTTTTATTTTTTTATTAGTCTAAGAGACTAATGTATAATCAAATAGTGTAGGTTGAGCTTTAGTTTTGTAAAGGAATTCATTTAAGAAAAGGATATTCTGACAAAAACCCTACAGCTTGACAGTCCCCCTCAATTGTCCATTTAGGATGTAGTTGATCATGGCTCTCCACAATATCCTTTTCTTTAATATCTGTAAATTATGAATTGTCATGACCATGCTTAAGTAGTTTCTCCATTGCCTTTTATCCAGTTATAAATTCATTGTTTCTGCCTAAACTGTTTGCCTTACCAAAAATAACAGTCTGTGATTTTTCTCTTAGCTAATACTTTTTCATGCCATTTCCAAGGGCATTAGTGCTAAATGCAATAATTTTCATTGGAATTTAAACCCATATATTGTTGGTAGTAGCCAAGCTTAAAGAATAGACAAATTGACAAGTTCAAGAAGAATGAGGTAGATTATTTTCCTCTGATCCTGGCCAGCAACAACTGATTACTTTCCCTTAAAATCAAATTGAACTGTTATGAAGCGTTAAAAATTCTCACAATTGAAGAAGCAAATAGAAAAAGAAATTAAGAATAATATTTGATACTCTCTACTGGGTATAGTTAGACTATTTGCATACTTGTAAAATCTATAGCATATAACTCATAACTTAGTTATGGAAACAGATTGATTGAAGTAATTGATTCATAGCTGCTAATTTTCAGGTTAAAGATAAAATCTACTGACATGTCTAATGTTCCAAACTCAAAATTGGACATACACATGTCTGCCTGAAAGAATTAAAAATGATTGTTATTGGTAATTGATTAAAATTCAATAATTTCTATTGGAAGTCTTACTAGGTAGTTTCATTTGTTTAAAGCTAATCAGAGGATTATCAAAGACCCAGGAAACATTTACCTTGAATGAAAACCTTTTAGGCTGTGCTAACACTTTTTGTTCTCTGTGCATTTTTTTTTTACTCCTGCTTCTATTTATATATATATATATATATATATATATATATATATATATATATATATATATAGTGATTTTCCAAGCATAGCTTAGATGTAGCACAAGGCTGAAAATAGGGGCACCAAGTGAGAATCGAACTCACCACTCAGTGGTAAATGTTCTAGTGAGACAAGCTTGCTAACCATTATATCGCCTCAAGGTGCCCATATATATATATATATATATATATATATATATATATATATATATATATATATAGCATGGGAGTGATTGAGATTTTATATATACACTACATGAAAACTGCCATAGAAGCATGAAAAAATCAATTATTTGCACTATCAATGGTAGTTGGGAAATGCAAAGTTGGTCTTGGCCTTCCCGCTAACTTGGAGCATGTGCATGTAAATTTTGGTGCAAATCCATCAAATTGCAGCCGTGCATTCGTTACACACATACACACACATCCTGCCTTTTATAGATAGATATATAGCATAGGAGTGATTGAGAGACAGATTGAGTTGTTAACCAGTTTAGCAGAAGGATAATTCTGAATTCAAAATCAGTTAGGCATATAAAATGCGTATTTGCAAAAGAAATCATAACCAGCATCACTAGCACAGTGAGGACGTGGCTCTATATTCTGCATTGAGTAAAAAGCACATTAGTCTCTCTCACTCCTACGTTTTTAGTCTCTCTCACTCCTACGTTTTTAGTCTCTCTCACTCCTACGTTTTTAGTCTCTCTCACTCCTACGTTTTTAGTCTCTCTCACTCCTACGTTTTTAGTCTCTCTCTCTCACTCCTACGTTTTTAGTCTCACTCCCTACGTTTTACTCCTACGTTTTTAGTCTCTCTCACTCCTACGTTTTTAGTCTCTCTCACTCCTACGTTTTTAGTCTCTCTCACTCCTACGTTTTTAGTCTCTCTCACTCCTACGTTTTTAGTCTCTCTCACTCCTACGTTTTTAGTCTCTCTCACTCCTAATTTTTTAGTCTCTCTCACTCCTACGTTTTTAGTCTCTCTCACTCCCTACGTTTTTAGTCTCTCTTTTAGTCTCTCTCACTCCTACGTTTTTAGTCTCTCTCACTCCTCCTACATTTTAGTCTCTCTCTCCCTACGTTTTAGTCTCTCTCACTCCCCCTACGTTTTTAGTCTCTCTCACTCCTACGTTTTTAGTCTCTCTCACTCTTTAGGTTCTTTTTTTTTTTTTTTTTTTTTTTTTTTTTTAGGTTCTCTCTCTCTCTGCCCTCTTTTTAGTCTCTCTCTCTCTCTCTAGTATTTTTATATTCATTTGAAAAATTCATTCATAAAGAAAATATAATCTGTCTTTCTGTTTGGTAAAAACTTATTGGATAGTTCTTGTATTGGATTGCTTCTCCCAAACTCTAAAATAATTCATTTTGGCATTGCTTTAGTGCAGATCAAAAATGGAACATTTTCAACTAGTCGAACATGTCTACAATTTGAGCCGGATTCATTGATTTCTGAATGTGGTCAAAAACATAACATGGTTTTGCTTGTATATTTATTTAGCTTTTTAGCCATGCTACTACTAAAATGAAAATGATTTAAGTATAGAGATTGATTGTAAACAGATCTGATAGTATATTATGGTTTTTTTAAAAGTTACATACACATACCCACATACGTACATATATATGTGTGTGTGTGTATTTATGTATGCACTTTTATCCATAATATAGCATGCCTTAAAACACACCCATACACACATATAAGTACTGTAAAAAAAAACATTTATTAAAAAATCTTTCAAAAATAAATTTTACTTTTTTGAAACTTTATTTGAGGAATATTATCTGATTTAAAGTATAATTAATCTGATTTGAAACAACTATTTACTTTAAATTTAAAATATTGCAGAAATGCATTTTTTTAGTCAGATGGTAGCTGTTTAATTAAGGCAGTCACTGGGTTTGACAGCTTGATATTTAAAGTTGTTCTATGGGGGCATTAGGTATAAAAAAGAAAATTTAATGTGAGTGCCTTTTATATATAATTTTTAAGTACTCTGTAAATTTACTATAGTTACCACTTTTATTTTCTGATAATGAAGTGTATGGTAGACTGTACACAGAAAATTCACATGTTTATATACACAAGAAAAAATTACAATTCTTTTAAAAATATTGATGTGTGATAATTTGTATTAAGCTTTTCAATTGATGGTTAGTAAATATAGTTTTCATTTAAGAATATCATCTAAAAGGGACAAATTATGACAGAATTTTAAAAGATTAAAAACTATTTAAAACTAAGTTATTCTAATTAAAATTAAAAAAAAATGAAAACAAATCTTTGAAAATTCATAAAAAATTAGAAGTTTTTTCTAATCTTAGTTTGATTGCATTTTTTATTTTATGATTCAGAGCAAATTTTTGGTAAATGAGTAACTCTTTGAAAAATGTTAGTTTTTCAAAATGTTTAAATTTTAGAAATGTTCATAAATATTCATCAAGTTAACTGAAAAATTGAGGTAAATTATGGAGGATGCTAAATGACATAATTTAATGTCAAAAACTGGTACTAAATGATTTTTTTTTTTCATTGTTATTAATATCTTTTTTGTGGTTGTATATTTTGTATGCTTTTCTTTTAGCATTGTGAATGAAATTTCTATGTATATTTCTTCAGATAAGTATGGGGGGGCAAATTCTCTGTGATTTAAAATAGAATCCTATAATGATTGCAGGTTTTATCCTGTTGCAGAAGTGAGAATAAAAATGGGTAAAGTCATTCTTAACAATGATAATAAATTTGATAAAAATGGTCACATAATCCTACCTACTAACTCCCTAACATCTGACAATTTATTCAATCTTAATATCAAAATAATTACAATCACATTCAAAACTATTATGGATATGATCAGAATCAAAAATATATATAACAATAATAATTCTGAAACTGGTATATATAATAAACTGTCACTACTGCTCTTCACGATATATAGGGGAAACTTGTAGAAATTATATGAACGCAAAAGGGTCTTATACATAACAATTTATCAAATACATAAAATAAATTTCGCTACAACTTTGATCTAAAGAATGTTTAAAAAAAAAAGGAACCTAGACGGAAAATTCTTGAGTGCCACTATTGAATTTTATCAAAATATAAATCTTCCTATGTCAGTGACTGCTCCTGGTATATAAACACATTTATTTGTTAGCCAATAAAAAGATGAGTGCATAACACATCATCACATTGTTTTATAGAGCTTCAGCATTTGTGCTCCTATTCTTAAAGTGAATAAATTGGCATGCATTTTGATATAGATGTGTATTTCCCCACTGGTGCCAAAAGTGTATTTGATCCCAGGATTTCACATGCTGATCTTAGACAGGCAGCTTTGTACACTTTGAACACAATTTTCCTTCTTCCTATTTCTTTGGAACTTGTGCTATATGAAATTAAACTTAAAGATGAAAAACTTGATAAATGGAGCAGAATGTTTAAGTTTGGATAAATTCAGTCTGGTATTGCCAGAATGTAAAGGAGATAAACGTAAGTTATATAGAAGGAAGCAATATTAGAAATGAGCTCCAAACCAATTTTCTTTCATTATTGCCCTAGAACCATTTCGAAAAAACTTCGATCATCTCTCAAAATATTAAAACTCTCCTGAAATTAAAATCAGCTTTATCATTTATAGTTGTTAGTATCATGAAAAACCCCATTAAAATATTTAGAAAATATATATCTTCATACATTCCATCTTTTAATTACTTGATTTTTAATGTCATGTTATAAGAAAAAAATTAAAAAGCTAAAATATTAAAGACAGATGTCTGTGTAACATTTGCATGAATTACTTGCACATTAATTTATTTTTAATTCTTGAGGCCCATATATTTAATGGGAGTTTTTCGAGCATGGGTTATTGGATGGTGGAGTCTGTCCGCTTTCCAAAGAAAGTGGATACTGGGACTTACACGAAGTTAAAACTTTATACCTGTTTCATGCTTCCTGTCCATACCCCCCCACCCTCTGATCCATAATGCTTCTCCTTTGTAAGCCTGAATTTTTTTTTTCTCTTGAATAGATAACTTGCCCTTTGCTGGCCCCCACCCTTGTAACCATCTACTATACTAATTCAAATGGGGGTAGGGGACACATATGCAGCACCGAACAACCCTCGTTAATGCCATTCTCTCAATGTGTCCTTTAGTTCTTAAGTACATGAGCGAGCTTGTCTCAGACTGGTACAATGTTTCTGACCCAAGGAAGAATTCTGTTGCCTTGACTTCTGGCCAGACATGATACATCCAGTTGAAGCATCATTTATGTATTTACATTCCTGGTTTGATTGTCTCTTCATCAATGGTGCCGGAGGTAGACGCTTTCTGAGTTTTGGCGTTATTCACCTGATAGTGAGGGATCCGAAACTTTATCATGGCATCGAGGAAACCTCACCGGTGACTACTGCATGGACCAGAAACCATTCACAAAATGGCAGTACATATTTCATCGGTGAGGAGTAAGTTCCACTTGAGCAGCTTCTTTTTACAAATCAATGCCCTGTGGAACCGACTCCCAGGTAGATGTTTCCCCAATCGCTACAATCTTAACCTGTTCAAGGCTAGGGTTAACCATTATCTTCCAATCGTATAATTTTCCATTCAGGTTTCATCCCTCAATGAAATTGCTGAAGTTTTTATTTCTTTATTATGTTTTTGTTTGTGTCTTCTTGCTCCATTAATTAAATGCCTATCACTGTTCATGAGAAGTAATAATTTGTTTTCATTCTAATTAGTTATTTTTTAAAAAAATGATAGATTTTTAATTAAAAGTTATATCATCCTTGTATCATCCCCAAAATTCAAACCAGTCATCCTAAACTAATGTACTATTGTCCCCGGGATAACATTAATTTCAAGCTCTGAGTATAATGTAAAAAGATTTTGTCTTATTAGAATATAAATCACACACACACACACGCCAGTGGGTCTTCATTGGTACATAGTTTGAAATAGTATTGAACATGGGTGATCAGAAAATATTTGAATGGTTGTAGCATTTAGTAATTGTTTTGTTACTGTTCAGAATGTGGAATTAGTAAATACTAAATACTTCAAATAACAAATTTAGTATAGGAGAAAAAGAAATTGAACCTAGACTAGGCTGTACCACAGGTAGTTTCACCCAACACAGCCCATTGCTACAAAACCAAAACAGCCAAATGAAAACTCTCATCATGTTGCTAAATAGCCATATCAGATTGAGACTTTCATATGGATGTCCCGCATGCCACCAAACTCCTTCAGAAATATCTAAACTGTCAGCTGTATACAACCACTTTCTAAGATCAATGGTGAAAAAGGCTTTTCAGTGAGTAAAGCATGAAGGTCTTGGAAAAGACTATCCTTCTTAGAACATTGTAGATTGGCATTACAGAACCACAAAGTACTGTACCAAATAACATAAGCCACATCACTTGAGGACTTTCAACACTAGCAATAACTAATAATGATAGTAAACATCTTGACTTTCTACACTATTTGAAATAAAAGGTTAGGAAGGAAACTCCAATCAATACTGGAAAGAGTTACTGGACTTGAAACATTTTTTCCTGAAAAATTGTTTTAAATGATTTTATAAATTTCAATTGCTCAGTCAATGAATACCAAAAGTATCAAAAGTAGCACAGAAATGAAGAAGCGAATGAATGAAGAACTCCCCCCTCTTTTTTTTTTATTTACTGTTGCTCACCCAATACAAGGCCCAAGAGCCACTTAAAGTAGATGGTTACTAAATTAGGTATAGGGAGGGAACAAGATATACATATTATGAGGATATGTAAGATCATGGTTGACTAGACTTGAGGTTATCAGGGAGCATCCTCTCAGGAGTAGGTATATTCCACAATGTAACTGTTTTGGGGAAGGAGCTGTCTGAGTGGAACTTCCTCTTCCTCAGTGGAATCTGATTGGAATGAAGATAAATCAACTTGATGTACATGGTGTGATGGCTCATAGCTGTGAAGGTCTGAACTGGTGGAAAGAATGAATATAGTCTCCCTGAACATCTGTGAAGAAAGCAATAAAGTGGGGTAGAGGCTAAAAAGAAATTTGTGGAAGTGTTAATGTTATCAATAATGACCTTAAGCTAACAAGAAATGGTTTTACTACTTCAGGAAGCAATAGAAGCTTAAAGTTTTTTTGTTTTTTTTTGTTTTTGTTTTTTTAAGCATTACACCCCAAGCAAGGCGTGAAGCCACTAGGATGCAGGGGGTTGCAGAAGATTTGGAGCAAGCGCAGATAGGAGTGATAGAAGAAAGGATGAGGAGAGGGATAGTGGATAGATCAAGGTAACTGGAGATGTCGATTGACATTACATTTGAATAGTTGGAGATTATAGCTCTCAGGGAAACAGTAATAGGGAAGGGTGTTCCACAGGCGAGAGGTGCGAGGTATGAAGCTATAGGAGTTGAAGAGACGGATACATTTAAAAGTTTCTACAGTGTAAGAGTGGGAGCGGGATGCCAGCCTTGTAGGCCGCTTGAATTCATGGAGTCTGGGAACCAGTGAAAGCAGCTCATCAGAGCAATTACCATGAAAGTATTTGTAGAAAAGACAGAGAGAGGCGATGGTGCATCTGTGAGAGAGTGACTGTAGACGAGACGCCAGATCAGGGCCAATTATATTACATGTCCGTCTCTGGATCTTGTCAAGAACTCCGAGGTAAACAGAAGGTGCCCCAGACCATATATGGCAGCAATACTCCATACAAGGGCGAATGGTTGATTTGTATTTTTGAAGTATCGACTCTGGGGAGAAAAATTTTCTTGGTGCGGCACAGAGCCAACTTTTCTCACGGTGAAAGAAGCAACTGACTCAATGTATTTGTTCCATCTCAGGTCAGCAGTCAACGTGAGACCAAGCAGACGCAGGGAGTTGCTCTCAAGAAGTTGACTATCAGACATTCTAATGGGGGGCAGGGAATAATCTCTATGGTGATTAATAGAGAGTAGTTTAGTTTTTGAGGCGTTAATTGTTGACCAGCCAATTCTTGCCCCAATTAACAACCGATTGGAGGTCCATTTCAAGACGTACGGCCAGGTTAGTTTTGTCACCGACACTAGATTTGTTTTTGAGGCAGGAGTAAATTGTAGTGTCGTCCGTGTAGATGCTAACTTGGGAATCTATGGCATCAGGGAGGTCGTTGATGAAAATAAGGAATAGAGTGGGGCCAAGGATGGAGCCTTGGGGAACACCTGCGTTTGTGGGATAGGAACTGGAGGAGAATCCGTTGAGAATGACCTTCAATTCATGGTTTGACAGGAATGATTGTATTAGGTCAAACAATCAACCCGTAATACCATAACCCTGGAGCTTACGAAGAAGGCCGGCAGGGTTTGGCATGCCAGCCTTCTTCGTAAGCTCCAGGGTTATGGTATTACAGGTCGATTGTTTGACCTAATGGAAGAATTGCATCAGTTTTTTTGTTTGTTTTTTTTGGGTTTTTTTTTTTTTTTTGCTTTTTAATCATTTCATCCCAAGCAAGGTCACTAAGTGTCCTGGGTATGACAATAAACTACATCTGGCAGCAAGAACTCTGAATGGGAGGTTTTGAGGAGCATGAAGCCACCTCTTAATTGTTGTTGTTCCCAGGTCCACCCTGACCCTGGGTGGTAGTAACTTATTAGGATCCCAGCTATGGGTAGATTGTTAACCCCCAAACTGGGGTTAAAACACTATTAAAGTATAAAAATAGATATTTATAATAAAAATACCAGCTATACATTTTTGAAAAAAAAAAAAAATATTACCAGCAATCCATTTAACTCTGACATATTTTTGTAAAGAGGGTTTTTAACCAATGAAACCTAAGCTACAAACTGATTTCTTACAAAGAGTACATATTCTATTCCTACAAACATATCCTAAAATTCTTGTCAGCATTAAGTAACCCATTGAGGTTGATATGCAGTAAAACGGACCAAACCAAGGCCATGAAAACTCAAAGGGTTACTGGGAGAGAAAGAAAATGGTAGACGTTTAGTGATGAAAAAGAACAGGTTTCAGAAAGGACTATAACAATTGGCATTGCATTTAATTTTTTTTAAGTTGTACAGAATCAAGAAACCAAAAGTGTCCCACACTAAGAAGTGTGAGAAAAACTATCAGAATAGTATGGTTGCATTTAGCTAGTTCAACAGTA